TGCAAGCCTAAGAAATCATTCCGGTGAATTAAGTGTACAATTTTTATTCAATTTAGCTGTTGCTACCGATGTGGATCCCACCGAGTTGACCTTCTGTGCGAGGCCTACTGGGTTTAGGGCCCATAATTCTACTGTCTCTGTTCCTGTGTATCAACCCAGTAAGGTTGATCAAAGTAAAGCGCGGTTAGAGCGGCGAGAGCGTAGAGCTGCTCTTAGTGCTGGGGCCGGAGAATGCTGAGATGATACTCAGCTTGCACGCTTGCACATTAACGCACAATGCGTGAGCCCTATGTTGGTCGAGGCTAACGGAAATATATTGCGAAGTGAGCTATTATTCTTCTTACTCTGTGTTTCCTTATTCCACAATCTTGTTGTCGGTTCTTATAGCACTACTGATGGTACATGAGAAGCAGTATCTCTGCATACTCTGTTTGTGCGCACTTCCAGCAGCTATGATAGAATCGATTAGGTTGGAGCGCACACAGTTGTCTGCATTATTGGTATTAGTCATTTGATCTCGCTTGATGTAGTGTAACGGTACATCACGAGTATCAGTGCGTCTTTCACTCACTTCTATGACACCCCCTCTTGCGTCTACTAGTCAAAGGACAACTCGAGCATCTTCACGTACCCGTAGTCAGCCCCCCCGTACTCACGCTGTTTCTTCTTCGAACCTTTCCGACATCACTGATGGCGAGATCCAGCATTTACTATTGAACACTTGAAGGGAAGGACTGAAAAGCCATACTCGGTGATCACATTCGCGGAGTAGATGTATGAGCTATGGCATACCGGCCCCAATTCCGATATTGCCATTTCTGGCCAGTTACCCTCACGCCGCGATCCAGCACTGGGCCCCGTTGGGCTCACTTTCTCAAAACACCACAAAATTATGGAACCGACGATTATGCGCGGATACGCGCGTAATCGGAATTCTTCGCCCAATCTTAATCGTTCTAGCTGTCGACTGCTCAGCGGATTTGTGTCGCACTGCCTGTCTGGTTTAGGGTTAGAGGTTAATGAGAGCACCTCGAAGTTTCTGTGTGTGTTAGTGGGGAAGAAGATCCAAACGGCTGATGCGACGTTGGTGAGGTTCTCATAGTACACCTTACCATTCACCACGGGGAGGTTAGTGAATGTCTGTTCTTCAGTAGCAGTTACTGGGGATGTAGAATTGTCCCGGTCCCTCCTCCTGAGGATATTCCCCAGCTAGATGTTCTCTTGGGTAGTTTTCTTGTTATTAGTTAATATGGCTTTAAGGCGTATCAATAAGGAGCTCGAGGAGCTCAGTCGTGACCCTCCAGCGAACTGCTCTGCTGGCCCGATAGGTGTGCACTCCTTTATAGCGATACCCTCAATAATACTGTTGTTAGGTGATGATATGTTCCACTGGCAAGCAACTATCATGGGCCCTAAGGATTCTCCTTATGAAGGAGGTGTATTCTTCCTCAACATCACCTTCCCCAGTGACTATCCCTTCAAGCCACCAAAGTGTCACTTCACTACGAAAATATATCACTGCAATATCAGTGCTAATGGTTCCATCTGTCTCGATATCCTCAAGGACCAATGGAGTCCAGCACTAACTATATCCAAGGTAAGGAGGAATAGATATCATCTGTATGATTATATTATCAACAATACTGTATAGGTTCTGTTGTCGATCTCCTCATTGCTTACTGATCCTAATCCTGATGATCCGTTTGTTCCCGAGATTGCCCACATGTTGAAGACCAATCGGGCTAAACATGATGAGATCGCCAGGGAATGGACGCAGAAGTATGCCATGTGAAGAAGTAGCTGTTGATGATGATGAAGATTGCGGATATTGAGTTGATGATGGTGCTGGTCATCATCATCACTGATGGTCATTCGTGATGTCATTAATACCACTATTATACTTGTTACACTGATATTATCAGTCAAGGGACTCGTTAATTTACCGCTTGCGTCATCATTACAATTGGGTGGAGAGTAATAAGAGACCATCGTAATAGCACGGTGGGGTGGTGAATGGTAGTTTGTGTAGATACAGGCATTGGACCAATTGTGATGCTCAACTGCTCAATCATCACATAGAATCGCGTCTAGCTTCCCATACCCTAGGGTTCCCTTGTTAATGGTGATGATATCATTGCTCAGTTACCTGATTCTCATATTAGGATTTTCCTTTCGTTCTTCTTGTATTCATATCCTGGTATTGATCTAATGGCTCTACGACGTATCAACAAGGAGTTGCAGGATCTCAGTCGCGATCCTCCAGCTAACTGTTCCGCTGGCCCTATTGGTACGCTCTAGTTGGACAATCACTTCGTGTAGCTTTTACTGGTTAGTTGTTGTTAGGTGATGATATGTTCCACTGGCAAGCAACTATCATGGGCCCTAAGGATTCTCCTTATGAAGGAGGTGTATTCTTCCTCAACATCACCTTCCCCAGTGACTATCCCTTCAAGCCACCAAAGTGTCACTTCACTACGAAGATATATCACTGCAATATCAGTGCTAATGGTTCCATCTGTCTCGATATCCTCAAGGACCAATGGAGTCCAGCACTAACTATATCCAAGGTAAGGAGGAGGAATAGATATCATCCGTATGATCATATTATCAACAATACTGTATAGGTTCTGTTGTCGATCTCCTCATTGCTTACTGATCCTAACCCCAACGATCCCTTCGTCCCTGAGATAGCCCACATGTACAAGGGTGATAGGACTAAGCATGATGCCATCGCTAGAGAGTGGACGCAGAAGTATGCTATGTGAGATCACTCGGCAGCGGCCGCCGTAGTAGCAACAGTAAGCATCGATGATCTGTGGTAACTGATATGGGGTACTTTGGTGGTCTATCGATATGATGGCATCAACACTACAGTCACCATCTATCTGACAACCTACTCTTACTATGCATAACTCTGTTTATTTCTGTACCCACTCTCATTCTTCCAGAGATTATCATTGTTATTACTACTGTTATTGCTACGAGTCCGATGATCCCACCAGGTAGGCGTCGTGTGGTGTTGGCCGTGTTGTATTGGGTAGCATCAACACCCTCTAATTACCATCATCGTACTATACTACTTCCACATACTTGACGAAGATGTCGCTATCAACATCATCAATGTCTCTTGCGTTCTTAGTGAATTAGTAGGTGTGGTGACGCGGCGTCGGCACTCAACCGTCTCGTCTCTGTCTCAGCCCAGCCTCTGTGGATCTTTGTAACAGCATTGTTGAGGCTTTCACTCCATGAATTCTGTGCCTCGACCAACGTCTTTACCATCACATAGTATACCTCCCCCTCCACTATTTACCAGGAATGCTGCAGGAGGGGTTGATCTACTCAATGAGGTGGCCAACGCTAGGAGGAGCAGTAGCCCACGACCCATGGGATCAGCCGGGATCGCTAGAGTCGATGCACTAGTGAGGCTCCGTGGCTGTGGTGCATCAGCGTCGTTATCTTGTATTTTTGCAGACTTCCCTGGAGTCTACGTTGGAGTCTTTAGCCAACCTCCTATTTGCCCTTCGTCAAGAGCGTCGACGTATACAACACGAGAAGCAGCAATTGAACGTTGAGTGGGCTAAGGTAGTGATGGTGAAGGTCCTCCTCCTCCTCCATATCATTGATGGTAGTTCCGAAGGATGTGTGCGGGATCCTATATGAGGATGTACGAGGCCTCCATGCAGCAGCAGCAGCAGCATTCGACAGCATCAGCATCTCAAGGAAGGTCCACCACATGTGAGCGTGCTCCTGCGCCCCCATCTACCCCACACGAGTCACTACGAGAGGCGATGAGGAGGTAGTTGTTGGGTCGTCGGTGGCGGTTACCAACAACCATTATCTTTTGCCTAGACATCCCGCCACGACCTCTACAATGGAAACACCATCGTGGACAGCCACACTCGACAAGATGACTGCAAATTGTGGAGATGAAATGCCGAACAATCTTCACTCGGTTGGATCTACTCTAGAATGCTTGTGGCTGACAGCTCTGATCCTCAGGCATGGCCCTATGCCTCCCAGCATGCTGCCAACCCTCGCTCTCAAGATATAGGGTATTAAGCTTCTGTCGGTTGTATCGTTGGGGAATGTCCTCTCGATAGTCGTCGTCGTCTTCGGAGGCCCTTCCCTGACGAGGATGTAGATGATCATCGTCAAGCTAAGCTGGCGAGACTCGAAGGTCGACCGGGCAATAGGGTGGGTTCACTTGCTGCCCTCCTCCACTATCACTACTGCTGCTACCATCATTACATAGCTGATTCTATGTAGGATCATTATTCGTCCTTTCCAAAGCATGAAGGAGAGGTAGATGTTGGGATGATGATGAGCTCAAGCAAGTCTCGAACACCTCCATCACCACCACCGAGTGACCATCCGAGAGTGAAGGGCATCACTTGGGTTGGCGGGAGTAATACCGACGTAGTTTGGCATCGATTCATATCATGCATTCTTAGCCCGGAGCTGGATGGCTCGATGGGTCGAAGATGGGAAGTTGAAGAGCAAGACGTTCTCTACTAAAAAGCAAGACCGTAATCTTGTAATGCTCAGTTGGGCTAACGGTGTGCTTAGGTACGGCTTTGCAGATGCCTACAGGTTGGCGGAAGAATGCCGATTGCGGAAGATGGGTATCTCTCTAGAGGACCTCCCTCAGGTGAGATAACGTGTGCCGGCTCATGGTTGATCGGGCGTGACCAGGGGTCTCGTTCAAAGGAGAGCAATGAGGAAAGATGGGATGAACATACTGAGCCACTTACAGAGGAGGCGCCAGAGAGCCATAGTGAGGCTGCTGATTATGATAGTGCTTCGGTGTAAGTGGTAATCCCGATCATCCCAATCGTCAAGAGTCGTATGCATCTGTGTTCGTCATTCAGAGAGAGTCCTTCCTCACCGGAGACCTTCGGTAACCCAGAAAGTGATACTCATGAATCTGCCAAGATGGAAGATGGTCTTCGAGCGGAAGCTACTGTAATACGACAGTGTAAGAGCATTGCCCCGCTTCGCCGATTCGTATCCGGTTTTCGCAGGAGGTCGCAGTCAGCGAACGTACTCAGCCGCGTTACTATCGTTCATTATAAGCAGTAACGCAATCTATCACACATTCCAACTAAACTTGGGATAATCTCATCATAATCACTGCCAGATTCAACATACTATTCATCTAACTCAACCGCTTGAAAGTTACTTGACGACGATACCTTGCCGCTGCCGCCGAACTACTGTTATCGTCTGTAAATGACCAGTACTACGTTCCCGAAACATACACTTGGCCGTGGTGTTGTGTTATACTAGTACGGACAACTGCCTTATCAGAGAACAGATGTGTGTTGCTCTCGATAATAACGCAGACTTGTATGGCGCACAATTCAGCGCCTGATCAGACCTTCTGTACGCGAAGGATGTCCCATTCCCCGGTCGATACCCTGAGTGTTGTACGGACATATCGGTGGCAGAAGGTATATATATTCTCATCCACGATGAAACCAACAGAGTTGCCAATAGCTTTTGCTTGAGATGGATCATGTCTCCACGAGTGATGAGGAAGGCTTCCGCGACACATGGAATCAGTGATGGTATAAGGTCAAAGCTAGACGAGCAGGTCCTTGACTTGACCGCCATAACAGGCGGTTCAACTGTGAAGATCCATGCAATGCGAGGCAGTCTGCCTCAGGCGTAGCTCTCTGCTCGGGGCAGAGAGCTACGCTTTTAAGCGCGTAGCTTACGGCAGATGAGATTGATGTTCTTCGAAGGATGCGCATCAAAGGGCGCCCACTCTGCCTCAGTAAGACCATAGCCTGTCGACAGCGAGTGGTCATGTAGCTTAAGACTTGACCATCCACCTGGCCTGACAAGTTGTGTGCATGGCCGATGGTATCCATTGTCCAGGGGAGGAGGAGGCGATGTCAATCACAACCCGCATGAAGGGTCGAGGGTTGTTCCTAGCATAGCATCCTTAAATATGACTTACACGTCTTTTATAGAGATACTCAAGTGAGCGTTGTTAGACAGTCCCACCTGCCACATTCGATAGAACACAAGTCCCGACCATGCATGAATAAGGTGGATGAGGAGGGCAGCAATTGAGCAATGAGGTGGGATCGAGTTTTGTCTGAGCCGCCGCTTAGTTGAGTTAATATCCACTCGCTATTCAATCTTCAACAACAGGTAAATGATAAGGTCTACACCGTCTGTCAGGAAGACAATGGTGATTGTGTGTAAGCCATACGTTGATATCGAAGGCAAGAGGTTCTCATGGGCTACGATGGAGTGGGCCAGAGCCGAAGGGATCAAAGACACCATTCCCTAACGGACTCACAGGATGAAGATTCTCCTGGAGTAGGAGCAATCAGAGGCGTTCACAGCGGCCCGGTACGCCGGAGTGGTAATTCGCACAGTGTGTCGAAATGCTGAGCTCTCATTCAAGTTTATCATCATCATCAGTCGACATCCCACTCTCGAGCTCGCTAGCAATCACTTCTTCCTTCTCGCTACCGTTTGACTTGAGAAGCTCCTCGTCGCATGGTGGCCGCCCATACGATACGAGTACAACACCGATGATCACGAACAGGTACATGCCAACCTGCTGATACACATGCCATAACTTATTGGGAATGGGATAATATACTCTACCTGTGGAAGTGTGACGACTTGCCTGCCAGTCACCAAATATTGCAGTACACCGGTCCCGATAGGCTGGAGGGTTGCGAAACTTGCGACCTGGAGAGGCAAGATCTAAATTTAAGATCTGGAGAGAGGCAAGCATTCTCACCACAGAGGGAGAGGTCTGTCGATTGGCCCAGTTCATACTGCAGTAAAGGAAACAAGATATCAACAACACGCCGTAGAGTAACACCAGCCAACCTGAGAGAGCACACTCAGCACCTAGTAACGACACATGAAGGGAAGCCGGCATGGGAGCAATTGAGAACGACAAATACCTTCGAGATGGACCGCTCGGCCATCATCCCCGATGAGACCAAGGCCTAGTGTCATGTCGGGGCAGGGGCTGGTCGAAGTAGAAGAAAACATGCAACCCAATCGTGAGCTGGGAGGAACCTATGTCAATGGATCCGGAGTAGAGCATTCCTACATGGCGATGAATATCAGAGTCGTCATAGAGGCAAAAAGGTAGGCATAACCTGAGAGGAATAGGAGGTTGAGATAACGCCTGAGTCCGACAAGAGACAACGACCTTCCACATATACAAAAGGTAAATGGATTGACTCCCTCTGATATACCACAATCGCTGCACCAAAAAATACTGCGGCAAAGACGATTAGCGAGCCCAATAGGATGTCCCAATTCACAGAGTGAGTATCTACACAAGAAGCCTATTACTGGACAGGCCCATCGAGACCCGCCTCATTTACCACTGTAGAATTCCTCCCCAAGGATTGAGGAGGCCATAGCAGCCCCGACACTCAGGACTACTCCGATGACTTTAGGACGAGAATAGACCTCACTTCCTTGAAGGATGCCCAAGGCATAACAGAAGGCTAGCAATGTCGGGTGAAGGAGGGCACAGATAAGTGGGGTAGTGAGCTTAACACCTGGCTATGGTCTGACACTATTGCTGCTGCTGTCTAGTGTACTGATTACCTTGTAAGAAGGATAAAATAGCCAGACTGGTGAGGACTCCTAGGATGACCAAAGGTATCACATCTTCCCTCCTTGGTAGCTTGAAAGAGCGATCAACTATTACTAGTAGTACTATACAACCGAAAACTGAGATGAGCACAGAGATGATTAATAAAGCGCGTGTAATACGTCGACTCACACTGCCGATAGAAGGCTAGAGTTAATAAATTTATATCCAACTTCGAAAGAACCAGTTTAGTGAGTACTTCCCAACCTGCGCTAATGAGTAAGTTAACGAATAATAGGGAATACGCCAAAGCCACTGGTGTGATTGGGCATTGCCTTTGGGAGAGGGCTGCCGTCCGGGACATAGGACGGCTAAAACTGGAATGAAAATTATGTATGCACCACATAGAGGCAAACACCGGCAGCACTACAGCCTGCAAATGTAAAGGAATGTACCACGGTGATATACTCATGCAACGGTACCACCTGCATGAGGTCAGGTGGTAGTATTGCACCGTGCCCCTAGTGAGCGACTACACATACTAGATAGGCTAGCCGAATCAGAAAAATAGAAATGCGCTCGGAGGTGCACCGACAGAACACGCGGAGGTTTGTCAAAGCTGTGAGGTGGAGAGGGATGACACGCAGAATAGTAGTAGTAGGATGTGGAAGATTGACGCATGAGTATGCTTCGCAAGAGGATAACTAGGCCTACGAGGAAGACCACGAGGCCAGTCTACTCGTTTAGTATGGACATGCCAGTAGGCGGGAGCTACACGAATGTTAGGAGGCCGAATGATCCATGACCATCAGGATGATGATCATGAATCGAAATGATGCATCAGGTACCATCATCATTACTGGTGATCAGAAATGTAGATACATACGGGCAAATGACACGATGCTGAAGACTGCCCATAAAGGTGTGGATGATCAAAGCGTGATGGTGAGAGCCTCCCTGCGGGCTAGGATCCCAATTTATGTCAACAAACACTTGAATGATAAAGATACTCTCCTTATGCTACTTCAGTTCGACGTTTCTTCCTTGCCTCTTCCTTTTCTAGAGCAGTCAAGTAACCACAAGTGCACATCTTCACACCGCACTTCGGGCAATAACGCTTCTTACTCAACAATCGATCACCCTGAACAACAACAAGCCAGAATGAGACAGAGAACAGGAAACTGGAGCGGAAATCGTTAAGAGGCCTTACTGCACTCTTGACATCAGAGTAATCCAGTATATTCTGAGGTTGGGTTCTCGCATAGGCTTGATTGACGAAGGAATCACCCTTCTTAGTTTCAACAGCGAGGAGTGTCTGCCAAAGTACGCAAGTTCGAATCCCAACAAGAGCATTTCTACCATTTTACCTTCTGAGGGTCTTCATCAATATACTTCTCCTTTTCGATACCCAGCTTATTAGAGAAGATCGTCTCCTCTGCCGTACTTTCTGGTGGAGGTGCGGCCGGTTTGATCTACAATACTGTCATCAACACCACCATCCTAGATCATCAACGACCATCTTCCGTACCTTATGCTGCTCATCTGGATCAGGTATACCCATTCTCTCTCTACGCTGCTTATCTCGTCGTTTATCGGCATCCCTAGTCCGACGTAGCTTACCACTACGGGTCTCTCGGAATTGACCTCCCCTTTGGACCATCTCATCATAGTTATATACTTTCTGTGGCATATACTGTTCTTCGATATCCTTCTTTTTTGGTACACTATGCTGGGCGAAAAGCAAGGCACCTACAATCATCATCAGCTGTTCTGATGATCACCATCCGACCGTACTACTCACCATTTACTGATTGATATCGATCATATAGGAAGTATGCATTACCATCACTGCAAGCCACTACGATCTGTTGAAGCACTGGATGCCAGAAGGTCTGACATGCAGCATGGATGCACAGTAGGATACTCGTACGCCTTCAGAACGATGTAATACTCATGGATATAGCTCGACTGCACTACTTCTACTAGCACTATCATCATATTACCCTCACAGCGCTCTGTGTTCGGAAGGTATAGCTCTTTAGCGGCTCTACAGCCTCTGATTGCAAGTCGTATACCACTACTCTTCCATCACCAGTACCTAGAATTATATGGTTATTACGGTGGTGGTAGAGGAAAGGGAATACCAGTGAGGGCCATAGACTCGTCCGGCGATATGGTGATGTCAGTGTGCTCGTCAGTACAAGGTAAGTTGTCCCAGGTCCGTACTGGGGTTGCAGCCCTAAGCTTACGACAGTCCCACATCTTCATCGTACCTGAAGGCGGCCCACGATATGGAGAGAGGAATCTACTAAAGAATGCAAGCACTAGGCAATGATACGTTGCTATACAGCCAACGTTGGATGAGAATAACTCGATACTGTAATGGTCGAGTTTCGTCCCCAGAAGGCCGGACTCGATAATGGCTTACCATCCAAGCTTCTACTGAGCATCCTATGACCATCCTCTAGTACTTTAACAGCGGTAACCACATCGGTATGGGCTGTCCGAGCTATCATATCAGCCTTACCGTATCTGATAGTATGAGAGT